ATGCTTCAAATCAGCCCAGTGGTGAGAATCTTTGTTTTCTTGATGTTGACCTTCAATCCATATTGAAGGCTGCCGTCCTTGACCTTCTGCAGCAAGCATTTTAGAGAGCTTTATTTTTTTTAGGGAGCTCTCATAATGTAATCCTAAGGAGCTGTGCTGCCTCGAAGGTGATGCTTCTGTAGCTGAATTGAGCAGCAGCTAATTTGGAGAAAAGATGGACAATATCCTCCCCTATAAATTACAACATAGACAAGCCCACCAGAGGATCAATTATGAGTCAGTGCCAAATCAATGGGAATGAGTTTTTAGTTTTACCTTTAAATGAGATTGTCTCATTTGTTTACTAATTATGTTTCCTTAAAATATAAGTTGCTGGAGTATAGAATCTTATCCATGTTATTGGTACATGCGTTCTGACCGCTAAAGAGATCTTTCTGCCCAAAATAAGTAGCATTGTTACATGCCTTGAGTTGGAATCAATCCTTAGCTGATTCTCCAGCGAGTTTTTAGATGTAGTAAATTGCATGGGAGTAAACTGCGCACCTTTCTCCCACAGAGCAGTTGGTGAATTTGAACTGTATGCCTTTAAGTTGACAAGGTAGCTTCTTACCACTAGGCCACCAGAACTCCAATCCCATATGTAAATATGAAAGGATGCCTTACTACGTTGCTACTTTATCACAGACGCTACAAAATCAAATGCCAGAGAAGTACTATAGGTGCATGACTCTAGGGAAACCTGTTGTTGTTGTTGTTGTTATTATGTGCGTGGAGTCACTTGCGACTCACAGCGACCCTATGTACAACAGCTCTAAACTCTGCTCTGTCCTGTGCCAATTTCATTGTCTCTGACACACTCAACCTGATCACCCCAGTCACCAAATCAATCCATCTCCCAGGGGGCCTTCCCCTCCTGCGCCTGCCCTCCACCGTCCCAAGCATGATGTCCTTCTCCAAGGATCGGTCTCTCCTTACAACATGACCAAAGCATGTCAGACGAAGCCTCAGAATCCTTGCCTCCAAGGAGCAGCACGGTTTAACCCTCTCTAGGATGAATCTGTTTTCTTAGCAGTCCATGGTACTCTCAATACTCTTCTCCAACACCAAAGCTCAAAAGCATCAATTCTTCTTCTATCCTCCCTGGTCATTGTCCAGCTCTCTGACGCATAACAAGTGATTGCAAAGACCATGGCCTGTACCAGATGGGAAACCTAGGAGGAAAAAATTTCAGGATCTCTGGTCTGAAGGCGGCACCTTTTCAGCTTGAATCACTCACTGCTGCCACACTACAGTGCAGATCTGGCTCAGCCAGATCTTTCAGATCATACGTAGAACAGGATGCCAAAATGTAATTCTTAAAAAATTATTTTTAATTGCTAACCGCTCATTACAAAACCTGTAGATTCATTTAGGATGAATCCATCCCTCTCAAGTGACATACTTTTCTCAGAAGTTGCTCGTATAGCGGAAAGAGAATTGTCTTTGGCAATGGAAAGATTCGGATCTATCAGCCTTTCTGAACGTCATTTCTAAATAAGCGTTGTAACCTGAACTTCATAGTTTGACCCTGAGGTTGGGGGCGGGGGGGATGTGTCGTGGGGTAAGAGAGGTGCAATTAATAATATAAGTAATTAAATCTCATCACAACCAATTTAGGCTTCCAGTCCCTAGGGCGCTGAACTGAAATACACTTTTCAAGATACCTCCCCTGCCAAAGGCCTTCTTAACATGTCTCAACAATTAATCTGAAAGAATCAAGAACCAGTTTCTATGTAGACATTCTGGTTCCGCCTCCTGCCTCCCTCGAATAGCACGCTGGGTAATGTAGTGCGCGGACGTGGAAAGTGCCCATTTCCCACCCTCCGCCGCCACCTCACCCCCTCGCCCTGTTTCTGGGCTCTAAACCCCAAATGAAGCGCCTTGTCAAATGCCCGCCCCTCCCTGGTCAAGAGAGGTAAAGCTGAAGGTTGAAAGGTGTACGAGAGACGATGCCGATAGCGTGGCGGGACCACGGCTCAGCCGACAGGAAGGGGCGGGACTCCCTCGCGCGCAGGCTCCTCCCTGTGACGTCATTTCCGTAAACAAAGGCCGCTGCAGAGGCGCGGGGCCGGGATGTGACCCCGACTCGAGCTGCAGCTGTGGCGGCGCGGAATGCGGTGCAGCTGCGGCGGGGACTTCGGAGGCTCCGGAGTCTTTCCTTACTGGGGCTTTGATCCCCTTTTTCTCAGGTATGAAGTGGATCCAAAGACACCCCATCGGCTTCTCCATTAAGCTCCTCCCATCCTTTCTGGTCCCTGCTGGGCTCTGGGAGCCCAAAGGTCAGCTTTTCAGTGGGTTGGGGAATGGGGTTGTGTAAAGTCAGCAGGGAGTCCTCCCACCCCCAGATAGTTCAGAGTGGAGGCTGCAGGTTCCAGGGCCTCAAAAAATAATGTGTGACTAAGCACCTATGAACAATTTACAGAAGCCTGTCTGGAAAGTTCCTTGCTGGTTGATAGACTGAGATTTCTGTGCACTTGTGACCTAGATGCTACCATCCAAGAACCGGTCATTTTCGATCCTTGTCCCCTTAGTTTAAGCCAGTAATAGTTTATTTGCACTCCTTTACTTCTGGTTGTTATTTATTTTCCTCTTGTATAACCAAATGCGCATTTGGCTTGTATTTCTGTGTGCTGAATCTACGCTAGTATCGCAAAGATAAAAGTACATTTCTTGTTTGGAAAACTGCTTTCCTCTCTGCTCTCTTACGTTGTCTTTTATATAATGTTTCGTTTTAATTTGTGTTATCTGCAGAACCCAAACCACAGGGACTGTTTTGTAACTCAAAATGTTTTCTAAAAGGAAAAATTTTGAGCCGAGCAAGGTATTAAGAGGATTTACAGTTGCTATCGAGTATGTTGTTGTTATGTGCCATTTAGTCTCCTGCGACTCATATGCTCCTCCCATGTGCAACAGCTCTGAAGCCTGCCCTTTTCTGAGCCAGTCTCACTGACTCCGACACACCTACCCGCATTACCCCAGTTACTGTGTCAGTCCACCTCGTCCAGAGTCTTCTCTCCTGCCTTGTCCCTTCACCCTTCTGAGCATGATGTCCTCCTACAGGGACTGGGCCTTCCAGTCCACGTGCCCAAATATGTGAGACAGAGCTTCAAAATCCTTGTCTCCATGGAGAAACTTGGTTTCACCCTCTCCAAGACACATACAGAGCTGGGGTACAGAGTCTTCTGTTTTCTTTATGCCTAGTATAAAATTGATTTTACTTAAACTGCTACGTGTCTCATGAGAAACTTAAGTGGCTGTTTATTAGACCGTAAATGGATTGTAAACCTTGCAAAGGTAGGTCTTTTATTTTTTTTTTTTCTTTCTTGTTGTGTGTCATTGAGTCCCAACTGGCACAGGAGGAGACTATTCACACCCATCCTTTTCCAGCAAAGCATCTGGTGGATTTGAACCTAGCACCTTTGGGATTGCACTAGCTTCTTGCCACTAGGCCATCAAAGCTCCCTTGGAATGTAGGTCTTTTTATATACTTTGGTCATCTCTTCAGGAGAGACCAGTCTTTGGGGGGGAAAAATCATGTTGGGAAAGCTGGCGGGTCAGGGAAAATAATGAAGATCCTTAATGAGCCAGATTGACATGGTGGCTGTGGTCATGGGCTGGAGCACATCAGAGATGGTGAAGATGGTACAGGATAGAGCGAGGTTCAGATATGTTGTTCAGATACACAGTCGACTCTGAGAACTAGTCAACTGGATGGCACTTAACAACAGTACACAAATTTTAACACTTGGCACAGAGAACAGCAGAATCCAGTTTCAAGTTCCCAGTGAGTCAACCTGAGCCAGTCAGCAGAATGGTGTCCATTCCAATACAAGCAGCACCCACCTCAGACATTTCGCAGAAACATTTGTTTTCATGAGAAATCTTAAGTACTACTTTTAGAATACAACATGCAAAAAGTTCCTGCTGTTCCCAATGTAATAGACAGCCAGATAAATATCTTATGAGACATGGGACGATATAAGGAAAGCAAGTGTAACATTATTAACAAGGAAGAAATGGTGAAGGATATTTTTAGATGGATGAGTGTTGGAAAAATAAGCTAAATAGTAGAAAAGAGGAGGGCAGTAGTTGACAAATAGGAAGCCTTTCATATGTTCTCTGTGGCCGAGCCATTAGCGACTTCAAAGAGAACCTTTCATTCATACGGGCGAGCATATGTAAGTGCATAAAGTCAAGCGTATGTCACGTTTCTTTGTGTATAAGTAGACAAAATATTTAAAAACAGACCTTGAAACCAATTTAATTGTTTACCACTTCATCTGATCATAAGGTTCTAAACAGGCAAACTTGGCGGTTGAAATAAGACTTTCACTTACTATTTAAACATGCAGATACCCTTGTCAGTGGTTTCTATATGTATTAGACAATGGACTTGAAGCTTGGGCTGGTCCAAAAATATCGCATGGGTATTCTGTTGGTTGGTTATAAATTGTTCCTCTTCCATGACATAGGTGTCTTGAAAGCCAGGGACTTTTGTCTTTTTCAGTCCTAGCTCTTCATTGCCTCAAATAGTGCATAGTATATATGGAAGAAAGTCAGTTAATTTTTGTAAAATGAGTGACTAAAGAAAATGGTTTAAGATGTTTTCGTCTGATAACTACTTTTCTAAGGGCTTCTGTGTACTTGTGGTGTATTGTTGAGTTGGAACCAACCCATAGCTAACCTTCCAGCAGCTTTTCAGAGGCAGTAGATCACGTGGGAGGAGATTGCCCATCTTTTCCCTGCAGAGATCAAACCATGTACTTTTGCATTGATGGCACAGTTTCTTACCACTAAGCCCCCAGAGCTCCGCTTCTAGGTACACAGATTAAATGTCAGGGATCCCTCTCTGATGGCTTTGTTAAATCTTGTTTCTTTTTCAGCCTTGACCTTGAAGTCTCTCTCAGTTTTGCATATTACAGCATAAATGGATAATTGCTGTGTTTCTTATTTAGGTTTTAGGGAGCTGGTCTTGGTACCATAAGGAATTTACAACAATGGAAGAGCGGAAAGTGAAGAGGAGGAGTCCTAAGTCTTTTAGTGCCCACTCTACTCAGGTTGTTAATGCCAAAAAAAATGCCATTCCAGTCAGTAAAAGTACAGGGTTTTCAAATCCTGCCACACAGTCCACGTCACAGCGGCCAAAGTTAAAAAGGTAAATTCTTTCATTTTGTGTTATCTTTAGCAGATTGCTGCAGATACTCATTCCATTTACTAGAACTTTTTCCTCTGTTGGCTTGATGTTTAGATCATTGGAGGCACATGTTATATGTGATTCAGAAAAATGAAAATAAATGTAGGAAGTTAAAAGTATGGAGATCAGAAAACACAAAATGAATCATTGTTCGAAGGCCCTATTTTTTAACTAAGTTGATGGCCTAACCAGAAATGGGGAAACACATTTGTTTTTCACTGAGCTATGTTTTCTGCCTTAATTTTTATTTTTAAAAACAGTAATTCTGTTGTTTCCATAAATGGTTTGTTTTTATTATACATATCAAATACAGGATAACTTCTGAGAACAAAATGACAAATAGTAAAATCCCCTCACTCAAAAAAGTTATTATTTTGTTCACATTATTTGCTTTGAGGCTGTGTAAAGGTAATGGGAAAAACAAATTAAATTGCATATATTGTTGCATATATATGAAGGTTTTATAATATTAGGTTCTTGGAAAGATAATGTTAAGAGAAAAAAATTTCACTATCTCAACTTTATAATAAACTTTATTCTGTCATGCAATTCACTTGAGGAAATACAGCATATAACCTTTGCATGTACACAAAAGACATAATTACTCAACTGATGATTATCTCACATTATTTTTAAATAATTAAGGAAATAAAGGGTATAGTCAAATAAGAATAGTTGGCATTTCATAATCAGGGAGTTGAATTTCTGGTCAGGTTTTGAATATGGTTATGAATGCATGGTGAAAAAAAGAAAGCTAAGAAATTTTAAAAGCTATTAATTTTTTACTCTCTCTTCTTCTAGCACTTTGTTTGTATCTCATCATTTTCTACTTGGAATTTTATTTCTGTACCATGTCATAGAATGAACACATCTTTAAGGACTGTGCCTGACAGTAATTACCATGGACTTTTTTTATATAATATTATTTTAATGAATGATTTTTAAATGTTGTAATTTTTTTATACTGATTTATTTCCAAAATTCAAATACATTGTTTTTCACAAAAGATCCTTCCCATTTCCTTCACCCTCCCCACCCATCAAATTGTGCAACCCTATGATTAACACCTCACCTCACTCGAGCCTGTCCTCACCCATGTCACATGATTAGAAATGTTAAGGTTAAACAGACTTTTGCTTTATGTTTTGTTTCTGTTTCTATTTTTGAGGGATTTATAAAATGATAGATTCATACCAAAACCTTATTTGGATAAAATGTCCAAATTTTAAAGGGGGGAAAATATGTTTGTTATACTGACTCTTTATCTTTTATAGTAGCTTTTCCCCAATTTTAGTGCACGTAATGAATCTCTGTCTTGTTAAAATGCAAGTTCACTTAGTCTTGGATGGGATTTAAAATTAGTATTTCTGATGATCTCATAGGTAGTATAAATGGACAGCACTTTGGGTAGCAAGTTATTAGATAATGTGGTATAATACTACATATGCATATATAACTGCTCTTTTTTGTGGGAAACCTTTGCTTATTTACTGTCCACCTATTTATTGTTGTTCTGCAACTCATAGTGACTCTGTACAATTGTTCTGATTTCTACCCTATCCTGAGCCAGTGTCAGTATTTCTGACAGAACCATTACCCCAGGTACTGTGTCAATCCATCACATCTGGGGTCCTCCTCTCCTGCACTGTCTCTCCACCCTTCCTAGCATGATCTTCTCTGAGGACTGGCCCCTCCTGGCCACATGCCCAAAGTATGTGAGATGGAGTTTCAAAATCCTTGCCTCCAAGAAGAAATTTGGTTTCATTCTCTCCATTATAGACCTGTTTGTTTCCTTGGTGGTCCATGGTACATGGTATGTTCAATACTCTTCACCAGCACAACTCAAAGGCATTGATACTTCTTTTGTGATCCCTAGTCATTGTCCAGCTCTCTGTTGCATAGCAAGTAATTGTGAAGACCATGGTTTAAATCAGGTGCTAAATTGGTTTCTTGTTAAGACTTTTCATTTTTCCCTACCTTGTATTCTATTTGTCTTAACTTTTTTGTGTTGAGTGGAGTTGTGATGAAGATATTTTCATTTAACATGAATGAATACTATTTTAAGATATGCACTGAATATTTTTTCCCCAAACTTCATAATCCTCTTGCACATTAATTTCCTGTGGGTAGAATCGATGTTTTATGTGTGGGTGTATTATGTGTGAAGAAATAATGTCAAGAATTGTACTACATGGTGTGGTTATGCCTTGCTGTTTATTCACATTCATGCACATGGCACTTCGGGGAAGCATGTTCTGACTGCCCCTGGACTGAGTTGAATTGCCCTTTGTCTCTAATATGTTCTATTTCATTTTTGACAGCTTCCAATTTTTCTACATACATACCGTGTACATTCTATATTGCAATTATTAATAGCTGTGTCCAGCTGTTTCTCTTAACTTTTCAGTGTCTTTCACTCTAAGGACTCCAGTACTGTGTCTAACAGTGGTGCTCTGAATTGTTCATAAGGGTTTCAGAAACTAATTATTTCAGAAGTGGATGGTCAGTCTTCCGTTCTGGCAGTGTTCATAGCACCGTCACTGAAGGATTAGCCTAGTTTATGCCTTATATGTGTAATTAAGGCAAGTCTGGCTTTAAGGTTTGGAAAAGCTTTCCTGAGGAACGGATATTTCAGCAGAGCTTTGAAAGATGTCTAGGAAGTAGACAGGCAGAGAGGGGAGTGAGGGCAAGGCTGCTTGTGTAAGCAGAGAATTAGCATGTAACAAGGGAAAAGAATGGATTTCTAGGAAGGATTCCTAGTAATTAAAGTACAGCAGCCATATGTTAAGTAGCTCTGAGCCCTGCCATATCCTCAGCCTGTCTGTCTCCAACACGCTTGTCCCTGTTACCCCAGTCACTATGTCAAGCCATCTCATCTGGGGTCTTCCCCTCTTACACTGTTCCTTCACCCTTCCAAGTATGAAGTTCTTCTCCAAGGAATGGTCTCTCCTGCCAAAATCCTTACCTCTAAGAAGCAGCTTGGTTTTACCCTCTCCAAAACAGACCTGTGTTTTTCTCTTAGTGGTCCATAGAATGTTCAATACTCTTCTCCAGCACCACAACTCAAAGACATTGATTATTCTTCTGTCATCCTTAGTCACTGTCCAACTTTCTGATGCATAGTAAGTAATTGTGAATTTAATGCATAGTAAGTAATTGTGACGACTGTAGCCTGGATCTGTTGCACCTTAGTCTCTAGACTGACATCATTGCTCATTAGCACTCTGAAAAGGTCCCAGTGCAGTTGTCTTCTTGATATTGAACTTCAATCCATATTGTCCTTGGCCTGCAGCAAATGCTTCAGATCCTCGTCAGTTTCAGCAAGCAAGGTTGTATAATCTGCATAATGCAGGTTGTTGATGAGTCTTCCTTCAGTTCTGATGCCACATTCCTCCTCATAAAGCCCAGCTGCCCAAATGACATTCTGCATATAGATTGAAAAGGTATGGAGACAGGATGCGTCCCTGAGGCACTTAACATCAACAGCATTAAGGACATTTGACTGTAGGTAATCAGGCAGTGTGAAGGTACCGTATGCATGATTTATCAACTAACCTTTTAAAAAATTGTCTTGGTTGATCTGTAGGTATTGGACGGAGGAGAGGAGAGGACTCTGAACACATAGAAGTGGGGAGACCATCAGGTGGCAAGCTGTGAGAGTAGTTCACTCCTACTTGGTGGCAGTGGAAATGGAGAGATTAGGGATATCATCAGTAGGGTTTCATGGCTTCATGCGGAATGTTAAGAAATCTAAAGAGTCAAAGATCCTTTCAGATTTCAGCGTTCTGTGCTAGTGATAGGAATTTATCTGTCTGCCTTTTTTCCTTAGATTTTGTCTCTTTGTATCCTCAGTAACCAGCACAGTGCCAGCCATAGAGTCTCTGTAAACTTGTTGGAGTGATAGTTGAGATGTTGCTGTGCACTTTTGAATTGATGACCGTGCTTAGAAACACATTTTTTTTTCTTCGATGTATTACCATCATTTGTGGCAATGTGTTAAGGAACAAATGGATAAAATTTAGAAAAGGAAAGCATAAGATTATAAAATGGATTATCAAGTTTTTCGGTCCACAGAATTAAATTGTTTAAATACCTTAATCAAATGTTACAGCTTAATAATTCAGTTATATTTCATACACTCATTTGAGAATCTCACAACCTACCTATTCTTTCTTTTGGTTTCTGGCTTGATGTTACTGGTTTTTAGTATTGTCCTTGGCCTAATTTCTTATTATTAAGTGAAATTCCATTTAATCTGCTAGTTTTGGTTGATCTGGAACAGTCTGAAAAATATAATTAAATTGCCTTATCTTTGCAGAGTGATCAAAGAAAAGACCAAACCTCAGGGTGGAGAAGGGAAAGGTGCCCAGTCCACGCCAATTCAGCACTCTTTCCTCACCGACGTCTCTGATGTGCAAGAGATGGAGAGAGGCCTCCTCAGCCTCCTGAATGATTTCCATTCTGGGAAACTTCAAGCCTTTGGCAAGTCATAGATTACTCTCTTTACCACTTCCTTTTTCCCAAGGTGTTTGAAACCTAGTTTCCATCTTTGTGTGTTTGTGTTTTACTCCTCCTCTTAAAAGTGTAACTTTTGGAGCAAAAGTTTTGAAAAATACTGCATAACTCGGGAGAGTCTGGAGAGCATTTATGCTGAGTGAAGTAAATCAGTTTCATAAGGATAAATACTGCATAAGACCAATATTGTAAAAATGGAAGGATAACTAGTAAAACATGTATGGGGACCTACAGGAGGAAGGTGTGGGAGCAGAGGGGTGAGGAAGGTAGGGGCAAAATCAGGGTTGCACAATTTGGTAGGTGGAGGGAGGCGGGAAAGGAAATGGGAAAGAGCTGGCGGGGACCTGAAAACACAGGGTGACGATGAGCATAGTCCAATGGTGATTAATTTTATCCAGGAATGAGTGTATGAAACACAATGTGATTGAAGAATAGTGTGAAACACAATGTATTTACAAACTTTGTAAGCCAACTAGTATAAAATAATTTTTTTTGGAAGTGTAACTTTCTTTTATTTAAAAACAAAATTTGTAGAAAAAAATATAATAATTGCAGATTGAATGTGGCTTAAAAAGAAATGGCCTTCTGAAATACCAGGTACATTTTTCTAAAGGGAGAGTTAGTTGCAGTGCTAAAGTTGTTGTTCGATGTCTTCACATTAATTCCAGATCATGCTGAATTTATATACAACAGAAACACTGCCCTCCTCAAGGTTGTTGTGTTTGAGCACATTGTTGCAACCACTGTTGACAGCCTATCTCTTTGAAGGCTCTTCTTCACTAGCGGTATCCTCCTCCAGGAACTGGTACCTTTGGATAACAAGTCTGCAGTCCATGGGACAGAGTGTTGCCATCCTCATGTCTAAAAAGTATGCTGGCTGAACTACTTCTTCCTCAGAGAATTCAGCATTCTTTACCAACACCATGTTACGAAAGCATCCCAACTTTTTGTCATTGTCCAGATGTCATATGCATATGAAGTGATTGAAATAAGCTGACTTGGGCCAGGCGCACATTGGTCCTCAAAAGGGAACATCTTTGCTCTATGGAGCTTTTTGCACGTCACCAGTGCAGTACATCATTTGATTTCTTGACATGTAATTGTAGATCCAAGGAAAATGAAATCCTTTACAATTTCAGTCTTTCATTCTTTTTTCTTCATTTATTGTGTTGATGTTTATTTGTCCAGTTATGAAGACTTTTGTTTTCTTTATGCTGAGGTGTAATCCATGCTAAAGAATTGAGAGTCTTTGCTCTTTCCTTCCACACATCACAAGGAACCTGGTGTTTACATGGGCCCCTGTTAGACTGGATCAGAATAGGGCAGGGTTCGGAGCTATTGCACACTATGAGTCTCAGGTGACTTGATGGCCCAGTGTAATTGATTGATCATTGCTTTCAGAGTCAGGATTTTTTTATTTATTATTATTTTTGTGTGAGTGTACCGTCAAATCAGATCTGACTGGTACAGGAGGAGACTGCTCCTCCTTCCCTGACAGAGCCTCTGGGATTGTAGTTGCAGCTCCTTGCCACTAGGCCACCAGAGATTCCCCCAGAGTCAGGAATTTGATTTGTAATTTTACATAGAGAATATGCACCTGTTAACAATCTCATTTGGAAAATGAAGAACACCAGTTTGTTTTCTATTACCTGTGATTTGAAGGTTTTCCTCCAGGTTATTAGTTTCAGCTTTCCTAATTTTTATTAATGTTTTTCTTTTCCCGCAGGAAATGAATGTTCCATTGAACAGATGGAGCACGTTCGGGGAATGCAGGAGAAATTAGCTCGCTTGAATTTGGAGCTTTATGGGGAGTTAGAGGAGCTTCCTGAGGAGAAGAGAAAAGCCGCCAGTGACGCCAATCTGGAGAGGCTTCTGTCTGATGTGCGTAGGCTTCGCTTTTTTAGACTTTAAGAGTATTTTTCTTTCTTTCTTTTTTTTAAAATTTATTACTAATTTCAATGAAAATTTACAGAGACTTTGGATTTCCATTCATTCATTGTTGCATTTTCTCCCCTCCCAACCTTCCCTACTAGTACACTACCCTCTTGGAAAAGTAAAAGAAAAATTCTTTCATTGTTTTATAATCCCTCCCCCAGGTCCACTCTACTATACAGCCTTCACTCTGGACTCCAGTCATGACAAAAATACCTAATAACATATCCCTCTTAAACAGTTTTCTCCCTCATCTGTTTCAGTGCAGTATACATTACTGAACCCATCTTTCTCAGTCTGCCCCCAATCCCTAGGTCAGTCCTATTTTATAACAGTGGCACCATGCAGTATTTGTCCTTTTGTGACCGAGATATTTCACTCAGCACAATGTCCACCCATTTTGAATAATATTGCATGAGTTCCTTGTTTTTCAGTGCAGCATAGTATTCCATTGTGTGAATATACCACAGCTTCTCTACCCATTCATTTGTTGATGGGCACTTAAGTTGTTTCCAGGTCCTTGCTATTGTGTACAAAGCTGCGATAAACATGGGTGTGCGTATACCTGCTTGGATGTCAGTTATGGTCTCTTTGGGGTATATTCCCAGTAGTGGAATTACTGGGGCAAATGGTATCTCTATTTGCAACTTTTTGAGAAAGCGCCATACCGCCTTCTGCAAGTAGTTGCACCATTTTACACTCCCACCAACAATGAATAAGGGTTCGTTTCTCCGCAACCTCGCCAGCATTTATTGCTCTCTGTTCTGTTAAATTTTGCTATTCTGACTGGGGTGAGATGATATCTCATAGTTGTTTTAAGAGTATTTTTCTTGAGAGTATTTTTTTCTTGAGATAAAATTAACATAATATACATTTATCTGTTCAACCAGTTCATACTCTACAGTTCAGCTGTTTGTAGTATATTCACTGTGTTATGCAGCTGTAACCACTATCTAATTCCAGAACATTTTGATCACCCTAAAAAGAAACCTTGTACCTCTCTTCCTGTACTCCCTGGCCACTGCTTTCAGCCTTTACCGTTTGTGTGTATGTCCTAAATGGAATGACATAACATAAGGCCTTTTGTATCTAACTTGTTTGACACTGTAACACTTTCAAGGTTCACTCATGTTGTACTGTATATTTTTTAAATAAATATATTCCAAGGAATTGATTGTATTTAGAAGTAAGCATGCATTCTGAGAAGTTTGGCAAACCTTGAAGTGTTTGCTTCAGTAAATAGAAGATTGTACGATATAAAAGATAGTATAGTATGCCAAAAAACCTTATCCTGACAAGATGAATACACTTTGTCTTTTTTAGGTTTTTTAAATTATTTTTATTGTTTATGTTAACAGGAAGATTTTACTAAATTTAAGTCCTTTTGGAACAAAAATAACCAAAAATAACTAAAAGTTGAATATACTGTGATTTAGTTTACAACCCATATTCATCCATAACTTAAAGAAATCTGTTCTATAAGGGAAATTGTATGTTCATACGTTAAAACTTTCAACTTTATATTTTTTTCAAATCTAACATGGCTCAGTTGCAAATATTTCCTTTTACCAACTCATGTTTATTTCTTTTAATAACTAGAAGCTTAATTTGTTAAATATTTAGGAGAATAACTTTATGTAGTGAGACAAACAGAAACCAGAAAGCTGTTGTCAGTTACTTCTACATTTGCTTAATAATTATGCAATTTAGTCAACTTTTCTGTAATTCAGATTTTTTTCCTATGCAAAAGAATGATAAGTTTTTACTTTCTTTTGACAAGTGACAGACACATGAAATCTTTGAGTATAGCAGGAAGGTTTTAAAGATTTTGGTCATTAAAATGGCAGCTCTTTTTGTAATAAAACTTAATACTTTTTAAATTAAACATGATTCTAAGAATGTTCAGATCAACAGATAGGGTTCATAGGGTTGGATCCTACTCTATTTGACTAGCATGGAACAGCAGCAAAAGCAACAACAAAGAATCAGTTTTTATCAATAGCTAAATTTTTTTCCCAGGACTCTTGTGAAATTAGCACTGAAACTACTTTTTAATTATTTTGCTAAAATAATTCTTGCTTGAATTTCAACCAAATAGTTTTAAAAGTTTGTTTTCAGTATTTGGCGCCTTTTTTTAGGTTAAGGAAAATTTAAGTGAAAAGCTTTCATTTTGACTGTATGGTTAACATTTATCTATTTATGATAATTTAGCTTATAAAATTAATTCTTTTGTTTGTGTTACAGTTAGAAGAGTTGAATTCTTCCATGTATCCTTTGCCTACGTCAACAGTGAAAATTTATGACTTACAGTTTCTGTCAAATAATCAAGTTTTAGATTATAATTTCTGTCAAATAATCAAGTTTAACAAAGACATTTATTACTTACTAGGGCTAGTTCTATTTAAGTTACTAAAGGGATTTTTTTCCTTCTGACTGATTAGATACTAAAATTTATTTCTGTTCTGTGTTGTTAGGGATTCTAAAAACAGCTGTCTTTTTAAATCAAGACTATTGAGGCTAATGGCCATAAGAAGACATTTTTAATCTTAAATTCCAAGCATTATGGCCCTAATGGCAGTAAGATATCCAAAGGTTATACACTGTACCTGACTGAATTTTTTAGACATCTTTAAAATGCATGCAGCTGTTCTTCAAGGGATAAATTTATAGTGTGGAAAATGACCCTTTTTATAATTAATTGTACTTGTTCAGTTTTCATGTAGTTGTGCAACTACTGCTTTTCATCATCCTTTCCCAAGAAACCCAGTAGCAGTCACTCCATATCCCCAGCTCCAGACAGCCACTAGTGTACCTTCTGTCTCTGTGGAGTTGACAGTTTGACATTTTATATAAATGGGTTCAATATGTGTTCTGCTACTTTCACTTAGCACGGTGTTTTCACACATCAGTACTTCAGTACTGACAGGACAGGGCGTTCAGTGGGTGTAAGTATGTTTGGTTTAACCATTCAGAGTTCAGTCACCTTCATTCTGTCAGAGAAGCTTACGCTTTACCAAGAGATTTGTTTCAGTACCTGTATGTGCAACTCTGTGATACACGTATTGCTAACATTTCAAAACTGAAAAACAGACTCTGCTGTTGAATTGGAATCTACTCATAGCTGACCCTCCCTTGGAATTCCAAGACTGTGTATTGCCCAGGAGGAGTTTGCACATCCTTCTCTCTTGGAACCCTTGTTGGATTCAGACCGCCAGAGACATGTTCCCCCGACTACTACATGCTATTCCACCAGAGCTCCACTACTAACGTTTAGGCATCCTTAATATATCCACATCATTGTTTGACTTAGATCTTTAAAATAGATACTAGCAGGTGGATAAATATAGGCAGATGAGGGGGGGAAAGGATAGTGATGTTGAGAAAGAATCGTTAATGCTGCTCTGATGGGGAGCTCTGGTGGCTCAGGCTGTAGAGAATGGTGCTACTAACCCAAAGACAGCATTTCTCTTATGGTTCAAATCCACTAGCTTCCAGGGAGAAAGAGAAGCAATTTATAGGCTCTGAAGGCTTCTTGGAGGGTCAGCATTGGGTTCATTCCAGCTTGTTTTGGCATGCGAACTTGTGTCATCTGCATATGGCAGGTTGTTGATGAGTCTACTCCAGTCCTGGTGCCACATTCCTCCTGATAAAGCCCAGCCTCCTGAATGATCTGTTCCCCGTATAGATTGAAAACTTATGGAGACAGGACGCATCCCTGACACTCCTTTCCTGATTTTTGAACCATGTGTACAGTGTTTCCTTGCTCTGTTTTGAACAACTGCTTCCTGGTCCAAGTATAGGTTTCCCATCAATCAAGTGTTCTGGTATTCCCATTCTTTTCTAGGTTAGCCATTTGTTGTGATCCACATAGTCACATACCTTTATGTAGTCAGTGGAACACAACACTGCTTTCAGCCAAGATCCATCAGACATTGGTGGTAATGTCTTTAGTGCCATGTCTTCTTCTATATCTGGGTTGTATTTCTGGTAAATGTACTTTTCCAGCTATTTTTGGATAATCTTCAGCAGGGTTTTGCTTGTGTGTGGTATTAGTGATATTGTTTGATAATTTCCACACTGTCAGGTCAACCAGTTTTGGAATGGGAACAGATACGGATCTCTTCCAGTCAGTTGGCCAGGTAGTTGTCCTCAAGATTTCTTGGCACAATCTGGTGAGCATATCAAGGGCAGCATCTGCTGAAATATGTCACTTAGTATTCCATCAATTCCTGGGGCCTTATTTTTTTTTCCTTGTTCCTTCAGAGCAGCTTGAATTTCCTCCTTCATCACCATTACCTCTTGATCATATATTGTTTCATGAAATTCTTCTATGTCAGCTACTTTTTTTTGATACAGTGACTCTGTGTACTCCTTCCATCTTTTAATGTTTCCTGGGTTGTTCAATATTCTGCCAATGGCATCCTTAAGTACTGCAACTCGAGGCTTGAATTTGTTTTACCATTCTTTCACCTTAAGAAATGCTGAGAGTTTGGCCTTTTTGGTTTTCTCCATATCTTTGCACATGTCATTATGATACTTTGCTTTGTCTTCACAAGCTGCCCTTTGAAATCTGTTCTGCTCCTTCATAAAATCTGTTCAACTCTTTAACTTCCTGCTTTCTTCCCTTTGCTTTGCCTTCTTGGTGCTCTAGTGCAATATTCAGAGTCTCTTCTGACATCCATTTCTGTCTATTCTTCCTCTGTCTTCATAATAACCTTTTGCATTCTTCATGAATGATATTCTTGATATCTTCCCAAAGCTCATTTGGTCTTTGTTCTTTAGTGTTTAAGCCCTCAAACCTTTTCTTGAGGTGATCTTTAAATTCAAGTGAGATAGACTCAATGTCAAATTTTGGTTTTAAGTTTATTTTTTTTTTAGCTTTAGTTGGAACTTGCCTATGAGTAGTTTAGGATCTGTTCCACAATAAACACCTGGTCTAGTTTTCATAGCTAATACTGAGCTTGTTTACCGAGTCTTTCCACAGATGTAGTCAATCTGATTTCCTGTGCATACCATCAGGTGAAGTTCATGTGTATAGTCACCTTTTATGTTTCTTATAAATCATTGATTGTACAAAATTCTGTCATTCTGTCTCCATCCTCATTTCTGTCACCAAGTCCATGTGTCCAACTACTGATCCTTCTTCCCTCTTCCTATGTTCGATCAATTTCCAACTTCTTACATTATAGCCTTACTTATTTTGTAATTTTCAAAGAAAATTTTTCTAAGCATGATTAATGTCTAGTACATGTTTTCATGGGGACAGGGTTTAGGTGTCTGGTAGCCCAGTGGGTGATGAGTTGCACAGCCAACCCAAAGACACACAGTTTGGATCCATCATCTGCTTCCCAGGAGAAAGGTGAACAGTGCACAGAGGGTCAGCTATGAGCTAGTTCCAACTTGATGGCACATAACAACAAATCTTTCTGTATTTGCCTCTTAACAGCTGCCAGTCATGAGAATTAGCCTTGCTGCATTAAAATAATTGTGTTTTGTTGGAACTTATAGACTAACAATTAAAAAACCTCATATTTTAGACATGTATAATTACTGCATTATAAAATTTTCTTACCAAGTTTCTCTCAGTAGCAACATGGCCTTTTTCTTTGAACTTATAGACTAACAATTAAAAAACCTCATATTTTAGACATGTATAATTACTGCATTATAAAATTGTCTTACCAAGTTTCTCTCAGTAGCAACACGGCCTTTTTCTTTGAAAAACGTCTAATATTCCTGTCTCTGAGCTGATGAGGGTAGTTTCCTGAAAGTTGTACAAATTACTTATTACAGAATGAACATTTTCTTAACTCATGAATTCAGACAAAAACTACACTTGGCAGATGCACAAGACGTCCCAAATGCTTCTACTAGCTAAATTGAGTAGTTAGTGTTGTTGTGAATTGAAGAAAAGCAGCATTCTTTTCTTTTCCAGCTGAATCTAGTATCAGAATTAACTGTCTACACAGGAATTCAAGTTTTCACACAAGTGCAGTGATTGCTTTCGCATATTGCTTTTAGTGCATTCGACTTGCTTCCTTCACGGTGGCTGGAGGCCAAGGCCTTGTTGAAGGCTCATTCAGGAAACGGGGTGTGGGGGTGGTGCTGCTGCTCTGCTTTCTTTTGTTGCCTTATGGAGTCATACTTGAAATGCATTGTGCTCAGTGTCGCAGACAGGGCTGAAGGATTTGTCCTTCCTGAGCTCACCAAACTTACCATTGTGATGAACCCAAGTTGATGATCACAGGCGCTCTGTGGCCGCCTGTGGCCGCCTTGCTTCAGTTTACGTTAGACAATCAGCACCCACATGGGTGTGTTTTCCAGTGGCCAGTGTTGACAAAATACTAAATCCATATATGTGAAATTTGCTATTTTTAATAAAGTGATTGTTTTAAATTAGTCTTTGTCGTCTGCTTTGAAAAACTTCTATAAAATTAAAGATCATCAGAGAACACAAAGGTTTAGTCCCTGAAAGTAAACTCTTAGCAAATTTAAGGTTCTGAAACGGACTTTCTTGCAATCTTTGCCCACTCAGATACTGGTGTATTGGGAGGATCATGGGCTTTATAGCTACTTAGACTTTGCTGTGAATTTCTGCTCTACCCTCAGTTCTGTGATTATGTATTCACAATCTTCAAGACTGATTTTTTTTAAAATCTGGAATGAGGTTAAAATAACTAAGTTGGGAAAATGCTTATAAGATGGAAGATCTTAGAAGACCTTTTAAGCTTCAACTTATATTAGCTTAATCACTTTCTAAATCATTGAGATTTTCTTTATATCCTATGAAATTAACCATTTTTAGAGTATACCATTCACTTGGCTTTTAGTGTGTTCATGGAACTATGCTACCACTATCTACTTTTCACAATCCCTCTACCCCCTCCCCCCAAAAAAAGAACCCACAGCAGTCACTCCCCATCCCCTATCCAAGGCAGGATTGATCTACTTAATATCTCCATAAAGTTGACAATTTTGGACATTTTCTATAAGTGGAATCATTTGTGTTATTTTGTTGCTTTCACAGAATAATGTGTCTGCTTGGTTCATATACTGGTTTATAGACAGTTTAAATACATGGTTTTTCACACAGGATCTTTCCCATTTCCTTCACCCATTCCTCCCTCCGTTTATCAACTTGTGTAACCCTGTGATTACCCACCCGCCCCGTAGCATATTGTAAAGATTCACATATCAGTACTCCAGTTCCTTTTCATGGCCAAATAGTGTGTGATTGTATGGATCTATAACATCTTGTTTATCTTACTTGTATGTTCAGTCACCTTTACTCTGTGAGGAAACAGGCTTCTGCCAAGTTATTTCTAGGATGCAGACACAGACATCTTAGGGAAGGTGGGGAATTCAGAGAATAGAATTGAGATCCATGGAATTATGTTCATTTTAGTAATTTTTTGGCATCTGAATGAAAAGACTTTTCATCAGTTTATCTAACTGGGTAGTTTTAAAATGCAACTTTTAAGTCATGAGGAAATAAAATATTCTTTTCCACGTTTGAGACTTTCAGCTGGGTGGAGAGAGTAGTGATTTAGGTGGGAGAATGGCACTGTGGTGGCTCTCAGAGCCAGAGGAAACTGCCATGTGGTGGATGTGTCTTTCTTGGGTGAATCCTGAGAGAACAGAACAAAGGCTGTTTCCTGAGGATCAATGACAGCTGAGGATGGCCCTTGCTTACTCCCTTGTTTCATATGCCTGCCTCAAGGAACAATTGAATTTATCTCCTTTATATCCTCTTCATTAACCTCAGATACATGCTAAAGACAACCAAGAAATGATACAATATTTAGGATATTTACGATTTATTACAGAAATGCCATGTAGTGACTAGTAACATTTTAAAATAAAACTTTGTTTTAAAAAACATTATCAGAGCAAGCCATTTAAGGTATTATTATAGAATTTCTATCCTCTTAAACTTTTTAATACATGTTTACACAACCTGGATCTAGTCATACTGTTTTCCAACCTGCTTCTCGTGCTTAATTCATGGGGCAACTTTCATGGCAAAATACTGTTCATCTGTATGCAAAAGGAAACGGCTTCATTATTAAATACTTAAAGGTATTTTGTCCAGAACCGTTAGAAACCACTTAGGAAAATGGCTTAGTTTCCTAAGTCTACCCTGACAAAACACCAGAGAGAGAGTGGTTTTAATCCACTAACAACCCAATATTTTCTGGTTTGAATTGTTTGTCAGTATGTTGTTTCTTTCGTGGAAGGCCATTCTGAGTCAAGAAGAATGCCTGATGTTTTGTTCCAAAATAGGTGTTGGAGACTCCAGGGGTGGGTTTGTGTGTTACCCAAAACCTGAAGGAAGGGTTAGTAAAAATTACATGGGACACCTTGGACTCTTGAATTCTGCACACCCTTGACAGACAGGTGCATACAGTTCAGAGCACTTGAAATGCTGTATTCACTCAGACCTGGAATCATCATGAGAATAAGCACTTCACTTCCAGATAATGCACAGGAAACACAAGGTTTATCTCCCAGTAGAAAAATCCAGAAGAGACAAAAGTTTGTTTTGTTTTGTTTGGGTGGGTTTCTTTTTTTAACTGAGATTTTAATGAAAGTTTATAGAGATCTTGGATTTCCATTCATTAATTGTTGCACATTTTCCTCCCTGCCCCCTCCCCCCCAGTTCGCTTTTCTTTTTGGGAAAAAAAATTCTTTCATTGTTGTACAATTCCCCACCCCAATCAACTTTATTATGCAGCTCTTACTTCTGGACTATTGTCATATAAATAATAACTAATTATATATTCCTTTTATGCAGTTCTTCCCCTCATCATTTTCAATGCAGTGGACATTATCCCCTTTTTTCTTGGTTTCACCCTAATCTCAATGTTACACCTGTTTTACAACAGTGGCATTATGCAGTATTTGTCCTTTTGTGCCTGAGACATTTCACTCAGCATAATGTCCTCCAGGTGAACCATTTTGTATAATATTTCATGAGGTAAAAAGAAGAGCCACAGACTGGGAAAAAATACTTGGTAATGACATGTCTGATAAGGGACTTACAGCTAGAATTTATAGACTACTCAAGCACCACAACAAGATAACCCAATTGCAAAATGGGCACAGGATATGAAAAGACACTTCACCAAAGATGACATTCAGATGGTGAACACATGAAGTGTTCAAAATCCCTACCTTTAAGAGAGATGCAGATCAAAACAACTATGAGATATCATCTCATCCCTGTGACAATAGCAAAATTCAACAAAGCAGCAAACAGCAAATGCTGGCAAGGTTGTGGAGGAACTGGAACCCTTATGCAGTGTTGGTGGGAGTGTAAAATGATGCAACCACAATGGAAGGCTGTATGATGCTGTCTCAAAAAGTTGGAAATAGAAATACCATTTGACCCAGCAATTCCATTGCTGGGAATATACCCTAAAGAAACCAGAACTGCCACCCAAGCTGTTATGTGCACACCTATGTTTATTGTGGCTTTGTTCACAATAGCAGAGTTGGCACCGGTGTGCCTATCAACAAATGAATGGATAGAGAAGGTGTGGTATATTCACACAATGGAATACTATGCAGCATTGAGGCCTTTTGCAGGCACAGCTCTAGAGCGCATCACTTTATACTACACCCTGTAAAAACAGCAGTATACACCCATTTTTTTCCCTTTTCAAGTCTCCTCCTGACATGCACTATCCTGCAGCACCCGTCAGTGGGAAAAGCAGCTGCCTGGTAAACCTCAGTGCCATTCAGTCGTGTCCGGCTCACAGCAATCTTGCACAAGCCGCTGGAGGGGTAGATGCCAGCCTGTTGGGTAGTGCAGACTGTTATGTGCCTGCCACCAGTACTGCTCCTGACCCCAGGGGAAGAAAATTGGGATTGATTGGGTGCTGTGCTCCACGGGTCATGAAAGGGTTAAAGAATGGACCTTGATGCTTTCGGAAGTGGAGACCACATCAGAATCTTGGCCTTGTGGATTTCTCTCAGGGGCTCCATCTACCAGCTACTCCGTAGCAGAAAGATAGGCAAATCTTTTCCCATATGGTTCTGAATCAAAGGCACACAACAGCAATCCTAGCCTCTAGGGAGCACCAGGCCTAGCGATAAGGAGTTGAGCTAACCTGTAGGCATGTGGTCAAATCTGCCGGGGGAGAAAGACGGGAGATCTCTTCCAGTGTGATTTACAGCTTCTGAACCAGCTGGAGGGTCAGCTATGTCCGTTCCAACTTGACAGTACTTAACAATCCAACAATGCTCTCAATATTTAGTTTCTTTTGATGCTAATAGATAAATCTGCCTCTGTCATCATATGACTCCTCGTTTGGGAATCTCTCCCTATAGACCTCAGTCAGATGTAATTAGGACCAGGCGCCACCCTACACCAATATAACCTTATTTGGCCCACGTGATAAAAACAAAGCCCTATTTCCCCAAATGAGGCTGTATTCACAGGTACTGGGGCTCGGATGGAAACATACCTTTTTGGGGGTGCCACAACTCTTAACAGGAGGGATTTTTTAAAAAAAAATTTTGAGGTGTGGCTTTTTTCTCCCCACATGTGTTTGGGGTGTTTCTGATAGAAAGCTAAAACTGGTACCAGGACTACAGAAGTCTGAAAATTTGCTCAAGATGAACCTAAGAAAACCCAAAGTTCCCACCTGCCATCACATGGCCTTTCGATTGCCGCCTGTACTTAAGACTAATAAATGGAACCTTCTCAGTCCATGTCTTGTGGGGCCCTGGTGGTACTTAAGCTCCAGGACTTATGAGGTTCCTGCAATGTGTGGTGACACCACCCACCGGAGGTCCCTCTGAAACCCTTCCCACCTCAGGGTCTAGGAAGGGGAATACTTAACACGTAGTGGGAATCTCGCCTGGAGAGTGGAC